CCCGCGCCTCGACTTCCCGCGCCCCACCCCGCGGGCGGTGGCGGCGGCAGCGGCAGCGGCGCGGTCGACCAGTGCGCAGGTCACGGCGCGGGCGGCTTGAAGGCGCGTTTGTTGGCGGACAAAAAACGACATAGAATCGCGACAGTGGCGCTCCATGCAGTTCTTGCGTCATCTGTTTCTCGAATCAGCCCGTAACTCGGACGTACACAAAGATTAGGATGCGAATAACGTAGGGTGTGGGTTTTCTTAATCGTTCTTTGTCAGCAAGAGAGAGGCAAGGAATGTTTATTGAATGAATTTTGGTGGATGCCTCACACTTGGGAAATCCAGTTTTCTGAATGTCAACTCTTAAAATGTGCATTCATTACGTAATAACTGAAAACGCAAGTTATCTATTAATAACACGAATAAAAAGTAAACATGTTGCGGTGCCCCAGTTTGAATAGAATAACTAGAAGAAAGGAATTTATGAAAAACATATTATTGTAATAACATTTTTAAAAATTCGTTCCATTATTCTAACAGATAAATGTGTAACGTTCTTTTTGGCACAACAAACAAACTGCATATGCTTCTCACATCACAGTATCTGATATCTGGTCCCTTTCAAAAAATACTTCAGTGCACTCGTCTTTGTTCAGAATAATCAATCGCATTAACTTAGAACATATCGAAAAGTACTTCATAATGAACACAGTAGCTTTCCTGTAGCGTCACTTCTTTTGAAATGAAGATATTAAACAACTCAAAAGTAGAATTTCACCTTCCACTAAAAACAAAGCTTAAGATGAAAATACGAGAATGCTCAAAATCCAGCATATGAGGCGGTCATCAAAACCGGTGATTTAGGTGCGTGGACCGAAACTCAAATTCGCAGACGGCAGCACTTTTCTGCGGAACCGAAATTCTCGGAGCGAAATGAAACTGGGGAATCTAACGTCAGAGATCTCTTCCCGGAGTGAGAAATTTCTTTCGGTAATGCAGTCGCAGTTAGGGGTCTGGCCTTTTCTTACTGTGATGTTTTGTTCCGTTTCTGGAACCGAAACTGAAATCGGATCACATTCCACAGTTTGAGGATGATTTGTCTCCGTGCGATATCGGATTGTGGGGTCATCATTTTCTATCTCGGAAGATAGGTAGTCTGAAAGCCTCACGCTCGCCGGAATGTGTGGTGGGTTTTGGAGCGTCTAAGTTGGCGGAGCTCTATGCGGGAGATTGAAGTCTAGTCTACGGCATGAGGTATTCAGTACGTGCTTGTAGCGTCGTTGACTTCTCATACAATGATGGAACATGTCCAATATATGTTCCCATTCATCAATTTTACATGGCATTTCATCGCCCAAACTAACCATCTACAAAAAAGCGGAAGGCAATGGAGAACCACTTCTATGATCACTAGGGGGCGGGTTTTGATGACCTGAAATGGAATAGTCCATCAGCAGAAATGATCAATAAGTTCTTAAAATGTTTAAAATGCCGTAAAAGCAAAGAAAAATGAAGAAAAAAATGTTATCAAAAACAGTTCAGATAAATAATTTAAGCTGATAGATATATTACTGATGTAATTGAGGCTTCTTCCTTTCCTGCAAACACGCCGTGCTATGAATACGCCTTGCAAACTTGTAGTTAAGATCGATCTTTACCAGGAAATCTTTGTCTTTAGTTACCGCGAAATCGGTCGAACCGGTAGTGGTCTTTAAGTTAGATTACATGCACACAGCGGCTGATAGAGCGGAGCAATCGAATTGGCTACTTCGGAATTCGGTGGAGAACTTCTGTTGCAACTCGTAAATATTATTTGAAGCAAGAACCATTAAAATGATATTAAAATCGATTAAATCAGCGACAAATGTTTTAAAATGACGTAAAAAAAGAAAAATGACTTAGTAAAAATTGACGAAAAAGGCAACAAGAAAGCCATATAAAAATGGGTCATTTAGTTTTGTCATAACATAAAATAAGCTTTCATATTGAACAATTAGAAATACCAGACAGTTTGATGAATTCCCTAATTAATCATCATGATGTGGAAACAAATCTTACAAAACCTGAGGAATATTATTCCTTTTCGTTCCTTGTACAATAGATATAAACCTTTTCTTAGATATTCTCTAATACTATACGATAAATACTAATTTTAAAATCTATTTCTAGTATATTTACAATAATTTTCGAAACATGTATTATTTCATTAACATACTTTTGAAACTTAATGCACGACAGAATATTTTCCAGTTAAATATCACATATTTAACGATGTTGTCTCAGTAGATATTAGAAACCGTACACCAAAGTATTTCAATGGAATACGTAAGCGCAGTGAGCAAAGCGCTCTATCAGATGAACGCTCGCCTGACACTAAATTGAAGGACTCATATTCATGGGCACGATGAGGCCCTTTTTCCCACCGCAATTGCGGCTGAAGCGGAAGCCTTAAGTCAACTCTAGCTGTGCATCAAGGCTACTTAACGTGCAGAGCACTACTAAACCACGAGAAACAATCTGTGCTCTCTTACTATTCCAATAAAAATACATAAACCTAACATAATAATGCAATAAATAATAATAAATTAAAAATAAAATAACATAATAAAAAACATCAGATACTAGAACCCATACATTCAGACTTATATTCTGGCTAAAATAAAGGTGCAAAAGGCTTTTAAACAATGAAAAATCACTATTTAAAGGAATAATTGAAAAAATTAAAATAATTCAAATTGTTATACCAAATTTATAATTTGCATAAGCAATTAAATGAAAAAAAATTGTTTCTTTGTAATCTTCAAAGTATAAATCCTTCCGGCATGATGAGTACGAATTTGTTTCACCCGTCACTTCAACTGTCTCTAGAAATGCCAATGTGGACTCCCTTTTAATAATTACTTCGTAATAAGAGAAGTCATTTTAATCGTGAGCCAGAATAGGGCGAATTCTGTACAGAAAAATCTTATTGCCGGGCCCTTGAAGCGAAAACTGGATAAATCCTATTCCTATATACTTCCTCTAACACGTGGTGTAGCCAGAATCCATGTTTTGTGACACAAAAATCGATTGACGGCATGTCTACCAGTCCGTCCGTTTATCTGTCAGTCCGTCAGTAGTTTTAGAACAAATTTGCATTAAGAAAAATTCTATAAATCAATAGTGTACTTTAGTACTTAATGTACTTCAAAATACGCAAATTGGGAGAAAAATATGCATTTTAATTTTTTTAGACATGTTGCACCAATCAGAAATATCTGAAAAATTCCAGAAGGTAGCTGATTTTTAAAGCAACATTAGAGAATTTTCTCGTGCCTCAATAAAACTTTCTTTTAAAAAATTCAAAGTTTCAAATTCATTTAAAAATTTGGATTTTGCGACAAATTTTTTTTTTGAAAAATTCCGTAAATTTCACATAAAGAATCATTATTTTCCATGGAAATTTATTTTGCTAATTCAAAGAATTAAAAAAAAATATTTTCGTTAATACGAAGGATGTGAGGGGGGCAGGAATCTAAAACGCCCATGAAAGTTTTTCGTGGTCTTAATCGTTTGGAGAGATTTTCTTTTCGATTTCCAGCGGAGGCACTTTTTACCATTTTATTTGGCTAGAGTCTTTCTCATTACAATTTGGACAAAAAATCCCTCTAGCTTCAATTTCACCAATGTACAAGGCAGTTCAAAGTGCAATAATGCAGAATGGCAGATTGACCCGTACAAGAGGAAACATTAAAATCACACTAATATTTCTCTTCATTATCCTATCATTATTTTGTACTTACACATAGTTGAGAAAAATGTGACATCCCAGATTCATAGGATGGACAAAGTCCCTCACAAAGACCGACGCGTTAAAAGTTGGTGTCCAACGAAAATAAGCTAAATGATATATAAACGTTTGGTGGAGGATTCATTCCGAATGATAATTCAGAAATGTTTTTGAGCTACGTTCTCAGATGTCTCCATAAATAATGTTGGATGAATACGTCCACAAGCATAATTGCATATTATCTTCTTCTTGCCGTTTTCGTAACCGCTACTTCAGTCTTCCGGCGCCTATTCTTCTCCATTCTTTCCGGTTCCGGCAGGAATCAGGAGGTAATTTCCACTTCTCGATTATCTTTCTGATCTGGTTGTTTTAGTTTGGTCTTGGTATGCCTCTTTTTCTCCTTTCATTTGGTTGCCATCCTAAGGATCTTCTGTTGCCCTTTCGGGAGTCCTTCTGGAAACTTCTCTTGTACATTGATAGCAAATGTCCAAACCAAGTGAGTTGTTTCTAAACAATTTCCTCTATAATATCATGATGCAGATTCATTATTTCCTTAACCTGTTCATTACTAATTCTTTCCCTCCTAGATATTGCAGAAGCTCTTCTGAGTAAATTCATTTCCAAGGCACTACATTTTCTTTTCTGTTGTTCTGAAAGCTGCCATATTTCTTCTCCATTCAATGTAAGGCTCTAAATCATACATATATATTTTCTAATTTTCGTTTTCTTGCATATATTTGGATGCTAGACAACTGCATTCAGGGCTCCTAAATTTTTTCTTCCTTTAATGAGTCGGTTTTGACATTCCTTTGCATAAAACCTTGTTTTCCTATTGTTGTTCCCAAGTACTTCATGTCCTCTGTTGTTCTTATGATTTCTCCAGTTTCCATAGTTAGTACGTCATGTGTTCTGCCCAGAGTCCAGAATACTTCTTTTTTCTAGGTTGAGACTTAGTTCCCATTTCTCATAATCTTCTTCTATCTTCGTAGTCATATAATCAATATCATCCTGTTCTTGCGGCATCAGCACCTGATCATCAGCGAACTGTAGGGTATAGAG